GAATTCCCGTCCCACCAAACATGCTCGCCCTTTCAACCGTGGGGGCGTTATAATATGACGGTCAATCCCACTATTCGTTGGTAAAAGAGTAGCCCAAGAGTTGACGGTGGATGGTGATGACTAGTTGCCTTCTCCCTAGTCTTACCCCGCTAAATTAGGGACGGCTAGCACAGATAGCCCTCGTGTGGTTTTGCGCGAAATTCAGAAACAAACAATTTTAGGTTATGCAGAACTTTTACAAATTTAAAACAGATAGGGAAACAAAAAAAGATCTTCAGCATAATGGAACACAGAGGACCGAAAATGTTTTTTTGTGATATTCAAATTGGCCCAATAGCTCGAACGCTTTAGAAGAGTGAACCCTTTTTCTTCAGGAGCAGGAGAGGTAAAACCTAAAGAGAATGAACTCAGCCTTCAGAAGTGCTCGAGCTTTTTGGGTCGATTTAAGTATCTTTAGAAAGACTATACTAGCTCCAGTTAAAGTGCTATATAGATATAGTGATAGTTAGTAATAGCTTTAATCGGGTAAATCGATAGATAGCAATAGTTGGCTTAAGTTACACGATACTAAATCGGGTATATTTGATATATTTCTAGATATTCTAGTCCGTACACTAAGCCTAAGAAATATAACAGAAAAGAAAATATAATTTCTATTTTTTAATCACACATCTGTTTTACTCACCTAAACGCACCATAATCCATCACACGTTTATTCTCGTTCTAGCTGGTGTAGTTGTCTCTGGCTTGTTGAAATTTTAGTTACTAAGAAACGAGACTGGACACTTCAAACATTAATCAAGCCACTCACTGCTATTCGTCTAACAAACTGTCTTCCGTTAGCATCGGCCACGCTCTGTCTCCTTTTCTCACTCCCCCCCCCCTCCCCACTGATCATGTGCCTTATCCCAGCCAATAGGAACACGTCCATTTTACATCACATGAATGACGCACGCACAGACTCCAACCGGCAGCTTCGTGAAAAACTGAGAGCTGCAGAAAAAAACCCATTTCATTTCCACCAAAAACTGAAAACCAACAAGGACAGTGATGGCATTTGGCCCTCCAAAAAAGTCCGAGATTGTTAAGTGCGATCAATAGCTGAAACCTCTATACTGTTTCACACATTAATGAAGAAGCCACAGGCTTGATGGCTTGTTTTACACCTTAATGAAGCCACAAGCTTGGCGGGTGTGAACACAAAGCTTAGAAAGAAGAGTTTATGAAAGCTTTGAGCCAATGTTTGACTCATCAAATATTTTAGTATACTCTTCCGCTTAACATTTTTATAATATGCACAAAAAACAAACAAAAAACATATAGCGACATCACATAGATGTTCACGCCTTTTAAATATATTTTGGCTCAGTTAGTTACAACTTGTTTCTTTAAATATCACATCAAAGATAATATTAAGGGGCAAGTAAACAACCGAAGTAATATAATTTAAACATCTTATCTAAAATTTATCTTATATTCAATTCAATCCTTTCGGAATTATTATAATTCGCGCTTGCACGTCATATTCGTGAATTTCTAGGATTCTATCATCAAGTAATAACTCAAAATGAAATGGAACCACAAATTACAAGACATAAGGTTACCAAATGTTGTTTTTTTTTCAGAATACATATTATCAAATTCTGATAAAAACTGATTTTTTTAGGAAATATCAGATACCTGAAAAAATCTAATAGCTTTTTAGTTTGGGGATTATTTTGATAATAATCTGATTTTTGTCGCGACTGCGATTAACAGAGTTGAAATATTTTCACGATCTAGAGTAAAAGGCCAAAATTCGTAAATCGCGAACTAATGCTATATAACGTTTGTTCAAAAAATACACAAAATATAAACGGTTAGTTACTATTAATCAAACGGGTTTGTACATAAATAAAATGTTCATTTTACACAAGATTTGTTTTTCGAATTAGTATGTTAGTTGTATTTTCTTCGATTTGAAGTTTATCACCTTATACATATACTTACCTATTTCATATGCATGAGGCTTAGGTATATGATAGAATGTAAAATTAAACAAATAGAAAAACGCAGTTCTTTTTTCGTCAACACGTGAGCGAAAATCTTGCAAAAATAAGGAACAAGTTAGAATAATAAGCAACGATCGAAGACAGAAAAGTGCTAAAAATAATTTTTAACCAGTCTTGAGTTAAGTATGTATATTTGAGTCTATACATTCAGCTAGTGTAACCCCCTTTTATAAAGACGTAATTTTATATTCTTAAAATTTTGTGTTTTTTAATAACAGGGTACTTACTGACAACCAGTATGTTTTCCATTGTGACGTCAGTCAGCCTTCAGGAGGTCATAATATCTAAAAGAAAAATTAATAAAAACAAACAGTGACAATCAAATACCCCCAGAAACTGTTGTATAGTTCATAAACAGTTTTTTTAAGGTTGCAGCCAAATATTAAATATTTTATTTCTGTACAATTTTGAGCAACTCTTGAATGTTTTATGTCCTAAATGAATACAATCATCGTACTTAAAAAATACATAGTTTCATATTTATGTCTGTTGGACGGGATACGATTAGTATTAATATATCAATGGCAAAGTTCAAATAGATTCATAAGGAGTGATGAAATTCTCGTCAGTTTATTGTATTTTAATTATCTGGTAAAAATTTAGAAAAATTTTCATAAACAAACTTCTTTTTCAGTATATTTGATCGTTAGTAAGAGTGAAATATTGTAAGCTCTTA